TCATTTCTTTTAATTTGGTTAATTTGTATAAAGGATATTATAATAATTTAATTTAATTTTAAATAAAAATAAAATATTTTATCTCTCATATTAATTTCATTTTTCAATTTATTTCTTTTTTATTAATTAATTTTTTATTTGTTGAGGGGAGACATCATGAGAGATGAGAGAGAAATGAGTTAAAAAAAAAATTTAATAAGAGAGAAATAAACTGAAAAATGAAGTTAATAAAAAAGAGAAAATATTTTATTTTTATTTAAAATTAAATTAAATTACTATAATATTTTTTATATAAATTAACTAAATTAAAAGAAATGAGTGATTTTTTTTCTAAAGTTTTGTTGTAAGTTGTTAATATAATTCAACTAAAAAATATGTGAGAGTATATTAACATTCCCTATATATATATATATATTAATTTGCAATAATATGATGATCCGTTAAGATGATTAAGAATTGTATATACATTTTATAGTTTGCCATTATTATTCTTAAATTATATATATTTCAATACCACCTTACCTTGTGTTTGATTACACTGTCACAACATACGTGTCAAATTTCCACGTTCAATTCATAAAAATGAATGATAGAAAACATACGTCAATCTTATCTTGTTACCAAACATGTAAGTTCACAACAAAATCCCTCGCATGCATCGAATTCAAACCAACTCAAATCCCAAACACGCATAACATAACCCACCATAAATGGAACCCCCTTCCCTCTTTCTCTCTTTGTGGGCGTGTTAATTTGTTTCTTCATTAACCACCACCTTTTAGGTGAACAACGTTTGAACATATCTACCATAGGATCAAAACCCCAATTTTGATCCCTTTTCATAACACATAAATCAAAAAGAAGAAATTAATCAAACTGGAAAATTACCCATCTCCAGATGAAACCTCCCCACCCTTTATCATCTTCTTCCAAAAAAAATAAACCCATCGAACATCATTAAAATGGAGGAGGATAAAGAAAAAATATCGAGACATATTTGATCATATTCGACACAGAAGACACCAATGCCTGAAGCTGATCCTAGTGCCGAACGCACCTTCATATGGATCATTGCATGTATTTTGTTCATTTGTGTTCTTGCTGGGGGAGGGTGCCTTGTAGCATACACGGTCCTTCCCGTGTCACAAGTTCCACCATGGACACCTCGTATTGGGATCATGTTGGTGTGTCTTCCGTGGGCTTTTTGGCTTCTCACATTCTTATACCGAATCTTCTCACGGATTTGTGGGTGTAGAATCAATGTTGGTGGTGTTGGAAGAGAGAGGTTAGGAGATGGTGGCCGTGCAAATGCACCTGGTGATGCAAGTGTTAAAGAAAATAATGGTATCAATAGGACATTCTCTGTTGCTTCACATGAGAGTCAAATGCCATTGGCAAAATCAATGGCTTCCTGATCAAATTGGAATTTCACTATGGCTTTAATTTGGTGGGTTTATTGTTTCCAATTTGCACCATTATATATAACTCTTGCAATCCTCCACTTTCTCCATATCATATTGTTATATATATATATATATATATGCTTCATCTACTTGATGATCGACGACCCTTTGCATCGAATATATCCCTAGTTCTTACCAATCTTCATGGATATACTCTCATTATGTATTCAACAACAATGAAAATATTATGATCCACGTCATTATATTTTCACTCAATTTAAACTTCTCTTTCTTTCTGTCTCTCTTAATTTAATTTCCACCTTTTATAATTAGTTTTTAAGATCTCTTTTGTTAGCACAGATGAAATTTGATTATTCAAATTTTCACTAGTGCAAAAGAGGCTTTTTACGTCAGTTATTTTAAGGTTTTTACGTCCGAAAAACCTCCGACGTTAAAGCCAGAGACGTAAATTTACGTCAGCGTGTTAGAGTGACGTAAATTTACGTCAGAGATTAGCGAACACCGACGTAAAAAAGTTACAAAAACCCAAAAAAAATTACGCTGAAACGGCCCGTTCTGCAAGGGGAACGGCCCGTTCTGCAAGGGGAACGGCCCGTTCTGCAAGGGGAACGGCCCGTTCTCCTTGCAAAACAGCCGTTCTTCTTGCAGAACGGGCCGTTCTCTCTGCTCCTGTCTGCAGCCAAAGATAAACATTACGATACCTTCGAACGAAATAAAGAAAAGAGGGAAGAAGATAAGAAAGGAACCTTCGAACGTAGGAAAGGAGCGAAGAATGGAAACAAAATCTGAATGCTCCCAAACAATGGCGTTACGTGTTGGCTGCGAAATCTGAACGAAATCTGGTGAAGAATGGAGAGGCGTTACGTGTTGGCTACGAAGCAGGGAGAGCGGGAAGGAAATCTGGTGAAGAAGGAGAGGCGCTACGCAACTTAAATTCAAAAATTCAACTTGAATATACGTCGGACAACAAAGGGACCGACGTAAATTCAACAATCTACGTCGGTTGTAGCTGAGGTCCGACGTAGATTGTTGAATTTACGTCGGTCCCTTTGTTGTCCGACGTAAAAAAATTTGCGTTATTTTCAAAAATGCCACCGCGTCGTTTTTACGTCGGATATATTGTAGTCTACAGACGTAAAAAGCCTCTTTTGCACTAGTGTTCATTGGCCTTGGATTTTGTAGTATTTTTTTTCATTTCCTTTTAAGATTTGCCAACAAACTAAGCTGAGATACTTATTAATTCCTTTCACACTTGGACATTTTCATGCCTATGTATATATATAGAGTTAATAATTACCTATATACGGTCGGTGTCGTAAACTTTTTTTACACCGGTAACCAATCATGTACCTTAATTGTGTCATGTCGTGACATGACACAATTAAGGTACATAGTGACATGACACAATTAAGGTACATGATTGGTTGCCGATGTAAAAAATTTTTACACTGACAGTGTATAGGTAATTAACTCATATATATATATATAATGATTATAATAATACCGGTGTAACTTTTACTAAGTATTACACCACTCAATAACTTTATATTAAATGTGAATTTTGTAAATCTAACCGTTAGATTTAAAGTTCTTTACTCTTAGATCATATATACAAAATTTTATATTAATCCAAGATGATTTGATACTTCATTTTTATAAAACAAAATTGACATAATATATTTATTTCAAAATATACTAAAATATGAATACTTTGATTACTTTTAAGTTGTTGCTCAATTTTAACAAAATTTGATATACACATATAAAGTGATATAAACTTTCAATCTAACGGTTGAATTTACAAAATTTACATTTAATATAAAATTATTGAGTGATGTAATACTTAGTAAAAATTACACTGATATTATTATAATCTTTCTCATATATATATATATATATATA